TGGCCGTGCCGGGGGCTCGGCGGCCTCGGGACCTCCGTGGGGCCCGGCGGCCTGGCACGTGGCGAGCTCTAGAGGGAGGCCCTGGCCTGCGGGCACATGGTGGCGACCTGCGCCCCACGTGGCCCCGGTGGGCCTGGCAGCGGCGGGTTGCCGCGCCGGGAAACGAAGTTAGAAGAAAACCAGCGGCGGTCCACATACAGCTTTTTCAGGCTGCCTTAAAGATGTTCTGGTTGGAATTCAGGCAAGGGTTGCCAGTATCAGGCGCGGTGGCGCAAGCAAAGAAGCTGAGGCAGATGGAGCCCCACGAGTTCGAGGCCAGCCTGAACTACGTAGCGAGACCCTGTCTCAAAAAAAAGACCAAAAAAGGAATATTATTTATTAGAGAAATCACCCTCCACGTACAGGCTGCTAGTTATTAAAAGTTCTGCATAGTGTCATGAATTATTCTGCAAATGTATTTTAAGGTGTGTGATTAAGGTAAAGTGAGGAAAGGTCATTTCTTCCTTTTTCCGTTCAGTTGGCTTTTTAAAAATTTTTTTTGGAACGCCTGCCAGGAGAAACATCTGCACCGCCGGCAGGAATAGCCTTACCCTTACCGTGGAAAGTGGATGAATTTAGGAAGGAGATGATTGTACAGTATTTTACTGTTGGGGGAATGGTGGCAAAATGTGAGTGGTCTGAAATGTGGGTGGAGGTATAATGATTTGTCCCTTTCTAGGCCGGCAAAAATCAAGGTGATCCCAAGAAAATGGCACCTCCCCCAAAGGAGGTAGAAGAAAGCGATGATGAGGAAATGTCAGACGATGAAGAAGATGACAGCAGCGGAGAAGAGGTAATTACATCCAATTTAATGGAGAGTTGTGTTAAAAATAATTGAGATTTATTCATGTTTGACCTATTGTAATATTTGAACAGATACGCAAATCATTAAATGAAGGGATGTCATTTGGGTAAGATTTGAATGTGAGTTCGAGATAGGTGATCTATCTGGGAAGGGTTTTTCTATTTTTCTACTCACTACTTTCTGCAGGGGCTGATGTGATAAGTCAGATTTTTGTATAATTTGTTTTCAGTTATGTAAGGGCTGGGGATATAGCTCAGTGGCATAAGCGCCTGCCTGGCAAGTGCAAGGTCCTGAGTTCGATCCCCAGTACCGCAAAAAAAAAAAAAAAAAAAGTAAGATCTGTTTTATAAATGGCAGAGCATTATGTTTAGGTCTGAGGATACCCTTACCAGGTTTCTATCCTATTTCCTGAACAAGATTAATGGGTCTTCCTATTCTATTATATCTGTGGCACTAATCTGTTCCAAGTATATGGTGCGGATTGAGGGCTGCCACCTCTCTTTGTGCTCGTGTTTGCCTTCTGTGTCATTTCTGCTTGTTTGCTCACTTCAGGCACAACTTACCTGCAGTTGTGCTCAGGTTTCTTGTTCAGAACTTAGTACTTTTATGCAAATTTCTTGACAAAGTTAGCGGTTAATGGAAAGTAGTTTTGAATAGGACTTAGATATACGTGTACCTCTTTTTTTTAGTACAGTTGAATGCTACTCTGCCATAAAGAAGGGTAAGCTGGAGACATTTCTAGCTAAATGGAAGACGTCGAGACCATACTGTATTTGGTTTTTATCAGGTTACTGTGCTTATTCTTTTTTTTTTTTTTTTTTTTTTTCCTAAATTGTTTGTCTTTTTGAGACGGGGTCTCGCTGTGCGGTTCAGGCCATCTGTGAGCTCCCTTTGTAGCCCAGGCTGGTCTCGAACTCACAACGATCCTCCTGCCTCAGCCTCCCAAGTGCTCCCAAGTGATGGCATGCGCCACCACGCCTGGTTTACTGTGCTCATTCTTTATTGTAATTTTGCTAAGATTATTCTGTTTATGTAAGTCTTCAGATTAAGGTTTTAATGAGATCTGTCCCCCTCCCCATTGTAGGGTCCTTAGTTTAATAGCAGTTTAAAAACAGAGGCACTTGCTGGGTCTAGTGGCACATACTGATAATCCCAACACTTGGAAGACTGAGGCAGGAGGACCTCCTTGAGTTAAGAGGCCAGCCTGCGGTGTATAGTATATTCATTGCCGGCCTGGATTACATAGTGAATTTAGTGCCAGCCTGGACTGCATAGCAGGATCCTGCATCAAAAAAGCAGTCATAGATGTAAGATTCTGAATAATTATTTACATTTACTCATATTCACTATACAATGTGTAAAACTGCTGTTTATTATCTTCTTTGTATGAGAAAGTTTAAATTGAAGCGTGACATGCAGGAATTGGCAAAGGTTTGGTTCAGAGGTTCCATCTGGGTGTTGCATGCTGATCGGGGCTCAGGCTATAGAAGGATGAAGAACCTGCCTTCACTTGAACTTGTATTCATGTTGTCTTCAACCACAGAAAATGCTAGAATCAAACAAGTTTTTGGGACCCAGGATATGTTTTGGGGTATAGGAAAATATTTATGTTGTTTTTATTTACTCTCAAGGTTGTCATCCCTCAGAAAAAAAGTAAGAAGGCGGCTGTGACTCCAGCAAAAAAAGTAGTGGCTTCCCCAACCAAAAAGGTGGCCATTGCCACACCTGCCAAGAAAGCAGCTGTCCCCTCAGGCAAAAAGGCGGGGGCTGCCACACCAGCCAAGAAGACAGTGACACCCGCCAAGGCAGTTGCAGCACCTGGCAAGAAGGGAGCCACACTAGGCAAAGCTGTAGTCGCAGCCCCGGGTAAGAAGAGTGCTGCTGCCCCAGCCAAGGGGGCAAAGAATGGCAAAAACGCCAAGAAGGAAGAGAGTGATGAGGATGAAGAGGACGGTGACAGTGAGGAGGAAGATGATGAGGATGACGAGGAGGAAGAGGAAGATGAGGAATTTGAGCCAAAAGTAATGAAAGCGGTGGCTGCAGCCCCTGCCTCAGAGGACGAGGATGAGGATGAGGACGATGACGAGGAGGATGAGGATGAGGATGAGGAGGATGATGAGGAGGAAGATGGTAAATTCTTGGTCATTCCTGGGCTGTTGTTTGCAGGGTATCTTAATTTGAAGTCCTGGTAGCAGCAGTGCATGTGCCTGGCTGCCCGGGGATCACGTTAGAATCCTCTCCAGTGTTCTCTGGGCCCTAACAACTGTGTGGTGGCAGGATGTTTCCTTTAGTTCTTCCTGGGAGTCCTGTTGGTCTGGAGCTTTCTAGGTTGAGCAGTTTCTCTTTCAGACTCTGAAGAAGAAGCTATGGAAACCACACCAGCCAAAGGGAAGAAAGCTCCTGTAAAAGCCGCTCCTGTCAAAGCCAAGAACGTGGCCGAGGAGGAGGAGGAGGATGATGAGGATGAAGATGATGAGGACGAAGAGGATGAGGATGACGAAGATGATGAAGATGAGGACGAGGACGAAGAGGAGGAAGAGGAGGAAGGTAAGTAAGATTAGGTTGTGAAGTACACTGACTTGAACTGTGTTGAAAGGAAGGACTTAGCGTATGTGGCCACATGTGAATGGCACCTTATCTGAAATTTTGTGCAGAGCCTGTCAAAGAAGCACCTGGCAAACGAAAGAAGGAAATGACCAAACAGAAGGCAGCTCCTGAAGCCAAGAAGCCGAAAATGGAAGGTAACCTACTGTTGTCGGGGTGGGGTGAAGGACTAGGGAGCGGCGCAAAGGATGAACGACAAAGGGACTTAATACTGAAACCTGATGTTAACGTTGCGATGTACTGATGTGCTGTGGTTAGAGGTTTTGTGCCGAAAATTGGTTTGTACCATGTGTCACAGACTAATGGGCTCCTTTTTGGTACAGGCACAGAACCCACTACAGCTTTTAATCTCTTTGTTGGAAATCTGAATTCTAACAAATCTGCTCCTGAATTAAAAACTGGTATCAGTGAAGTTTTTGCTAAAAATGATCTCACTACTGTGGATGTCAGAATTGGTACAAATCGGTAAGTGATTTGCAGCTTGTTACCCTTAAAAATGAATGTAAACAGTTTAAAAATTAGATGTTAATGAATTAAATGATAGCAAACACTTTTGAGAATTGTTTCTGTGCTCTTGGAAATACCTGAAAGCATTAACTTGAAGTGTTGTCAAGGTGGTGTGGAGGTGTTTAGTCAGACAGGATTCTCGTTTGGTGCTTTAAGCACAGTCCTTTGGCCACTGCTAGCACCTTTACAAGGAGTGGAGTGGACAGACCTTAAAGGTGAATTTGCCCAGTCGGTTTAGGGACTTCAACCTTGTTTACCAGCCCAAATTTGCAGCGCGTGTGGATTTAATGCCAGAGGTCCTTCTGGATATAATCCTGACTCGGCAGCATCACACCAGTGTAGGCTGTGCCGAGGGTTGGTTTTGTGGGATGGTTTTTCTTTCCCACCTGTAATTTTGCTGTCTTCTCTGTGAAGGAAGTTTGGCTATGTAGACTTTGAATCTGCTGAAGACCTGGAAAAGGCTTTGGAACTCACTGGCTTAAAAGTCTTCGGCAGTGAAATTAAATTAGAGAAACCCAAAGGAAAAGACAGCAAGAAAGGTATGTGAGGCTTTTGTGGGTTGTGATATGATTGGGCTTGGCTGCTTTTACCCTTCTCCCTTGGGTTCTTCCTGTTATGAGAGTGAACTGCCTAAAGTGTTCATGGTAGCTGGGGGTGCTGGTGCACGCACACCTGTTACCTATCCCCCCATCTCTGGAGGCAGAAGCAGGAGGATCACTTGCAAGACTTTGTCTCAAAATTTAAAAAGGGCTGGTTATGTATCCCTGGCACCACAAAAATATTTTTAGAAAGTGGCAAGAGATCAGTCTGAGGCACAAAAGAATTACAGGTTAGTATAATGTCTGAGCCTTGGGTGTGTTTTAGATTTTGGAATATTTTCATATGTGCATCAGATATTGTGGGGATGGGACATAAGTCCAAACCTGGGATAGATTCATTTACTTTTCACATACACCTTTTTCACAGTCTGAATACACAAAATTCATTTTGACTGAAGTCATCACAAGGTCCAAGGATGGTGTCCTTTTCTTCACTTGTGGTGTCCCGTTGGTATTCAAAAAGGTTTTTGAGTTAGATGTGCTTCATTCAGGAGGCTGAGTCAGGATCGCCTCAGGTTCAAGGCTATACAGGGCTATATAGTGAGTTGAAAGCCATCCTGGACTACAGAGCAATTCCCTGTCAAAAACAAGGTAGATTTTTCACTCAGCAGTACTCATGTTGAGTTACACAGACCTTAATACAGGTGCTTCTTACAACCTATACTGTGTTCCTGATTCCTGTTTATATCTTTTACTTCTAGCTGTAGATTGGCATGTTTTAAGTTACATGTTCTTTTTTAGGGCCTTGTGCATTCTAGGCAAACATTCTACCATTGACCTACACCCCAGGGTACCCCATCCCCCTTTTGGAGACAAGGTCTTTACTGAGTTACCCGTGCTGGTCATAAGCTTGTTCTTCCTGCTTTGGCCCCACAATGACTGAGGTGACAGGTGTGTGCCACCGGTTTCTTTGTTGAAGGATTGTGGGCACTTACTGAGTTGGGCACGGTTCTAAATATTGGGTACACAATAGGCCGACAGCTGTGCCGGCTTGGTGGGACCGACTGCATCTTGCCACTGCTGTGGCTCCGTACTTAGTGGAGGCCTTGTTCTCAAAAGGATCCTACTTCATTGGATGGAACTGTCTTGGGGGTTTTTTTTCCCTGTGTTCTGTTCATGTAGTTCATTTGTTTTCATTTTTAAATTGAGATCGAGATGCAAGAACACTTTTGGCCAAAAATCTCCCTTACAAAGTCACTCAGGATGAACTGAAAGAAGTGTTTGAAGACGCCATAGAGATCAGACTAGTCAGCAAGGATGGGAAAAGTAAAGGGTAAGTTCTGTGTCTGGGAAGAAAGAATTACATTAGTGTTAAGGTGCTTTGTGCCAGGAATGTGGGCCCACTTCTCTGGGTTAGGATCTGGGTAGTTCCAGCTATCTATAAACTGTTGAGACTCAGGTCCCTGTCTGCAGCATAAGGTTAATATACTTAATTCAGAGTAACTTTAAAAAGATGAATTTAGAGGCCAGGTGTGGTACATGACTATAATCCCAGCACTTGGGAGACTGAGGCAGGAGGATTGTCCTGAGTGAGTTCAAGTCCAGCTTGAACTATGTAGTGAGACCTTATCTCAAAACAGAAAAAGGTGAATTATAGTGTGTAAGTGAAAGATGCTCCTGTCTTCCAGTAAATGCTGTGTGTAGTCAGTTCTGTGCGTGACAGGCTGCGTACACCGGTGGGCCCACTAGATCCACTGAGTGGTGTCAGTTCTGGTGGCTCTGCTGTGGCGTTTGCACAGTTACAGTTGCCTAGTAGTATACTTTTCAGTGTTGCTGAGGTTAAGCATTTGTATTAATGTCTTCCTGTTGCAGGATTGCTTATATTGAGTTTAAGACAGAAGCTGATGCGGAGAAAACCTTTGAAGAAAAGCAGGGAACAGAGATAGATGGGCGATCAGTTTCCCTCTACTATACTGGGGAGAAAGGTCAAAATCAAGACTACAGAGGCGGAAAGAACAGCACCTGGAGCGGTAAGAGGCTACCAGGCTGGAATGGGCAGAGCTCATTGGCATGGGCCTGCCCTGGGGGTGGGGGTGGGGCAGCAGGGAGCCAGGGAGCAGCGTAGAGCTTTCCAGAGCAAGGTAGTGTGACCTGCCTGGAGCTGCTGTTCCCATCTTTAGTGTGCGCCTCTCTGTATTTGCAGGTGAATCAAAAACTCTGTATTTAAGCAACCTCTCCTACAGTGCAACAGAAGAAACTCTTCAGGAAGTATTTGAGAAGGCAACTTTTATCAAAGTACCCCAAAACCAAAACGGCAAATCTAAAGGGTAGATACCTTTGTGTTGGTTGTCGTGGGGTTCAGGGGTCTGTGCGGGTCTCCCGTGTAGGTCTGAAGGGGGAACTGCATGGTCAGCGGCGGAGTGGGGAAAGCAGGCTTGTGCTGTGGGATTGCAGAGTGGCGGGACTCGCTGACTCTGCTTACCTTGACGGTTAACTCTGCCCTCAGGTACGCCTTCATAGAATTCGCTTCGTTTGAAGACGCAAAGGAAGCTTTGAACTCCTGCAATAAAAGGGAAATTGAGGGCAGAACGATCAGACTGGAGCTGCAGGGACCCAGGGGGTCGCCTAATGCAAGAAGCCGTGAGTCCAACAAGCAGATGCCGCGGAGGGGGTGGCACCTTCCTCCATTTGCTGGAATTTGTGGCAGTTCTTTACCCACGAATCTGGGGATGACTTGCTGTTGGTGCTGAGTGACAACTGGATATGATGACTGATTACCTGAGAAAAAGACTTGATGAAATCTCAAGAAAATTCCTCTAGATAGTCAAGTTCTGATCCAGCTGTGTCACTCAGTGTGGCGAGCCTGCTGCTGCCTGCCCTCTGTTGCGCCGTGCTGGCTGTTGCAGTAGTTCCTGCTTTCTCTTCATAAAAGACCTAAGCCAGGAGCTCAGCTGCGTATTAGTAGTAGTGAGGATGGAAGCCAGGCACAGTGTGAGCTTATAATCTCAGCACTGAAGGAGGCTGAGGCAGGAGAGTTACAAGTTCATGTCCTGCTTAGGCAACTTAGGCCCTAGCTCAAAAAAAACGTCCTGGGGGTAGCTTAGTAGTAGAACCAGTGTTCCACCCCTGGTACCAGAACAAAACTGGTAGGTTATTGGCGCAAGTCTTCTGCTTTAGTTAACACTGATGGTTGGCTCACTTGTAACTGTTTCTTTTGCTGAAACAAGCATGCTGTGCCTGGTAGTGTCATTATGAATTGTGGCTTCAAATAACAGTTTTTATTTTTCTTCCCCAGAGCCATCCAAAACCCTGTTCGTCAAGGGTCTGTCTGAGGAAACCACGGAAGAGACCTTAAAGGAATCGTTTGACGGCTCTATTGGAGCACGGATAGTCACTGACCGGGAAACTGGCTCTTCCAAGGGGTAAGGACAGGCCTAGCAGCGCTGGTCGTGCCTGGCGCCTTCTCATTGAGCTCCTTTCTGTCACTGGTGGCAGTCATGGATTCGCACGAGAAGAACAGCACTTCACAGAGCCAGCGTTGCTTTAGCCTCTGTTTTGGAGGAGGTGGGCGTGGCTGTTCTGTGAGACATGTTCAGGTTTAAACATGGGTGGTGCAGTTAGGCTTCCACAGCAGCTGTTGCTCTGGCTGTTCAGCTGAACGAGGTCTGTGGGCTCACCTGTGACTCACAGTGCTCGTCAGTGCATTGTGCCAGTGCATCGTGACGGTCCTCCTGCTGGCCTTTCCAGGTTTGGTTTTGTAGACTTCAACACTGAGGAAGATGCCAAGGCTGCCAAGGAGGCCATGGAGGATGGAGAGATCGACGGAAACAAAGTCACCTTGGACTGGGCCAAGCCTAAGGGCGAAGGCGGCTTCGGGGGCCGTGGAGGCGGCAGAGGCGGCTTCGGGGGCCGGGGAGGTGGCCGAGGCGGCAGAGGTGGATTTGGAGGCAGAGGCCGGGGAGGCTTTGGAGGTAAGGGACTGCTGCCTCTGTCCCATCTGCTTGCCCTGGGGAGGGCCCAGCAGCTTCTGCTACCTGCCTCACTGTCTACCTTTGTCCTGCAGGGCGAGGCGGCTTCCGAGGAGGCCGGGGAGGAGGCGGAGACCACAAGCCACAAGGAAAGAAGACGAAGTTCGAGTAGTCCCTTCTGTCCCTGTCTGTACCTACCTGTTCATTGGAAAGAAAGGACTCTGGGGTTTTACTCTGTTACCTGTTAATGACAGAGCCTTCTGAGGACATTCCAAGATGGTGTGCATCCTGTGGTCTACTTGGGAAGTGTAGCGATGACATTTCAGGAGAGATGTACCCGATATACCCTGTTGGTTTTGACTGGAGATTCATAAACTTTTTAAAGAGATGAGTGATAGAGCTAACCCTGATCTGTAAGTTTTGAATTTATATTGTTTCATCCCATGTACAAAACCATTTTTTTCCTACAAATAGTTTTTTGTGTGTGTTGGGGGGTTGTAAAGGAAAGCAGAATGTTTTATGATTTTTTTGCTTCAGTGATTTTAGGACAAATTAAAAGTCCTAAACTCTGGTGCCAGGCTTATTAAAAAAAGTGTTTCTCGTGGGTGCCACTGAAGAACATGGTAAAGCCAGCTCTGCCACCCGGCCCTACCTCACCTGGTGACCAGGCGGCCGTGTGTGTCACCGTCTGGGCTGGCATGGGAGAAGCCCTGTGGGATCGTGGCGCTTACACTGTGCGCAGCTACAGCGGGTGCTCGGGAGGAGGCGCAGGGCAGGAGTGTGCGCACAGGGTGTGCGTGGCCTGCAGACCTGTGCTGTGCCGCTTTCTGCCACCTGGCGGCTCTGTCTCCTGCTCTGCCTTAGCCGAGTTGGAAGCCACATGAGAAGGGTAGGAATATGGTGGCTGTAGTTGCAAAGCTGTCCAGGGTTCACTTAGGCAGCCAGAGCGCGAGCTGACAGTTGACAGAGGCTCCCTGCGGGCTGAGTGCCTCTGTGTGCTGAGCCAGGGCAGCCCTAGCGTAGCCACCGTGCCTGGTACGCCTACTGGGTCCACAGGGGCCCAGTGCCTTGATCATGGTGCCCTGAGAAAGGCGAGCGGGGAGCTTGCAGCCGTGGCAGGCAGGTCTGTTAGGAGCACGCTTTGCCGTAGATGAGCACGCAGTCCCTTCATGGGCTTGGCTGGGGCTGTGGTACGGCACTTGGCTACTCTGCACGGCCTTGGCAGTCGTGACCACCAGAGTGCCACGGTTGTCTCAGCTCATGAGCAGGTCTGAGCGCAGTGTTGGGGTGGACCTTGGACCTTGTGCAGAGCTCACCCCAGCCCCACAAGCATGGCCCCCAGGCGTCTCCACTGCTGGCATCTCACCCAGAGGGCCCCAGAGAATGGGTTTGGTGTTTCGTTTTTGAGGCAGGGTCCCACTGTCTAGTTCAGGCTGGCTTTGCACTCACTGTGCGCCCCAGGCTTTGGTCTCCCCAAAGCTCAGATGACACCGGCTTGGAGGGTTGGTTTGGAAGCCTGGAACGCAGTGAGTCTGAGTCAGGGTCTCTTAACTGGCCTTTGTTAGGTATAGAGCTGCTAGTCGTAGGCAGCAGGCTGCAGGCTGCTGCTAGTCTGCCCTTGACCTGAAGGAAGCCTCAGCGCCCCAGCTTGGTCACTGGTGTGCAGTGTGGCTGGGGGCCTGGGAGTGGGGTTTTGGGGTCTTGGCTGGGAAGAGGGGAGGACGTCCTGGCGCAGCAAGAAAGGGGACCCCGGAGCCTGCGGTGTCAGGGTTCTGGCCTGAACTTAGCCTGGCCATAGCCCAGAGACCTCAGGAAGATGCTGCTGTTCTCCACTGGGAGGGAAGAGTGGCTGAGTGCAGCCCTAGACCTCCGGTCAGGCTCATCTCGCGAGGCCATCAGAGGGCAGAGGTGGTCACGGCGGGTGGGCCTGAGGACAGGGTTCTGCACCGCTGCCACCTTTCTGGTGGTTTCTTCACTGCATTCTGCAGCCATCTTAGAAAAGCAGTTCCAGGCAGCAAATGGTTGTCGCCACTTCTGCCATTTTTCCAGCAGGTGGCAGCACGAGGCCAAGTCTGGGGAGGAGGTGACACCACGCAGACTGTAGCCTGGAAGGAGCAGGCCACTCGGTGCTCTGTGCCTAATATCCCAGTGGGCCTGTCTCTCTGGCCTGATACAGTGCTGACCTGTGGCTTTTTTCCCTGTTTTAGACCGGGCCTGTTTATTTCAGGCTGTCTGTGAATGTGGCCCAGGCTGGCTTGAGTCTGCCCAGTGCTGGAAATTCACCAGGTGGTTCCACATCTAGACTGAGGCCTTGTTTCTCATTCTCTGGCGCCCTGTGTCGTGGAGAAGCAGCAGAACTTTCTCAGTCCTGCCTCAGCCTCCCAGAGTGCTGGAGTGAAGCAGATGCCCGCTGCCGCACCTGGCTTCAGCCTCGCGCTCCCTGCAGTGCCAGTGATTAGAGACTGCCAGGCCCGGGAGCTCTCCGCTCTCTGCTCTCAGAAGTCCTAGCGGTCAGAACTTCGCCATGGGCTGGGGCCACCCGATGAACAGAGCCAGACAGCTGGGGAGGGGCGGTGGGGATGTGGGCTGAGATGTTTAAGCTTCGCTGAGGGCTGGGCAGGGTAGGTGGGGACAGCGGGAACCCTGGGACAGCGCCCAGCACGGGGTGCATGGTAGGAGAGGGGCTCTGAACTTTCACCCATCAGTTTTTATGGGGGCCGACTCAGTGTAGTCGGAGCGGGCCTTGAACTTGCAGTGATCCTTCTCCTGCAGCCTCCTGCCGGCTAGGATCAGGCGTGCGCCACCACACCCAGCTTCAAAATAATATAGGTAGATTAAAAAATAATAATAATATAGATAGTAAAAAGCTTGCTTGGTGAGATAGCACATGCCTGTGACCCCAGCTATTTGGGAGGCTAAAGCAGGCAGGGACTAGTCTGGACAACTTAGGAAGATCCTGTCTTTTTCAAAAGCTTTTTAATTTAAAAAAAAGAAAAAGCTTTTTTGTTTCTATGTTTTTGAGACGGTCTGTGTATCCCAGGCTGGCCTCTCTGATCCTCCTGCCTCAGTGTCCCGATGCTGGGATCACAGGTGTGGGCCACCACGCCTTGCAAGGTTGTTTTTACTACTGTACATTTGTAGTGCATAAGGATGGCATTTATTGTGGGAGCTGGCATGTGCGTGTAGCACATCTTTATTTCTGTGTCCCCTGCCCCTCTCCCCTGCGTCCCATTTGCAAAAGTTCTATTTCCATTTTTTTCTTCAATTTTTACAATTTTTTTCCCCTTCCCCTCCATCCCTCCCTCTCTTGTTCACCTTAATCATCTGAAGAAAAGCTCCCCACTTCCTATAATCTGTATTTTATTTTGTTCTTTATATATTAGGTTTTTCTTTTCATCTTTTTGAGATAGGGTATTAGGTTTTTCTTTTCGTCTTTTTGAGATAGGGTCTTGCTATGCAGTTCAGGCTGGCCTCGAACTTGCAAAGATTCTTCTGCCTCAGCCTCCCAAGTGCTGGGATTACAGGTGTGTGTGCCACCACACCTGCCAGGTTTTCCTAGGAGAAACCATGTGATATTTAAGCTTGTATGTCTGGTTTAGTTCATTTAACATGGCCTCAAAGTGCATCCATTTTCATACGAATGACTTGAGTTTATGCTTCCTGGCAGAGTAGTACCCCATTGTGTTTTAATATTCTCTTTGGCTGGTTTTTTTGTTTTGAGCCAGGGTCTTGCAGTGTAGTCCAGTTTGGCCTTGAACTCTGCACTCCTTCCTCTACCAGTGCTGGAATTACAGGCATGCAGCACCACACCTAGTTAATGCCACATGTTCTTTATCCATTCATCTGTTTTGAAGGCTTAGGTATTACGAATTATGTTACCATAAACATGGGGGAATGCATGGATCACTGTAATAAAACTTTCACCTTCAGGAAGATACCTAGAAGTGGGGATAACTGGGTCAAATGCAGTTTCTACTTTCAGGTTTTTAAGGAATCTCTAGACTCATCCCTATAGTGATTGTAGTTTTCATGAGCACAGCAGAGGCGTCATCCAGCATTCACCCAGCTTCGCCAGCATGTATTTAATTTTTTTTTTTTTTGGTTTTTCTCCGGTACTGGGAATCGAACTCACGACCTTGCTCCTGCCTGGCAAGAGGTGCTGTGCTGCTGAGCTAAATCCACAGCCCCTTATTTAATTTTTGGGGGGCCATTCTTTGTGGGGTGAGATGGAATCTGTTTTAATTTGCATTTCTCTTGTGGCCAGTGATGTTGAACATTTTTCGTTTCTAAACCACCTATGTTCTTGAAGTCTGCATTTTTGGTTGTCCCATTTATTGATTGGATCCTTTAGTTTGGAATAAGAGCGTGGGGTGTAGCAGAATAAATGGTGAGATGGCTTGTATAATGATACATTACCCCTGATTTCAATCCTCAGCACTAATTTTTTTTAAAAAGTCAACTTCTGCAGAACTAGCAGGATGGGTGGAATTAGAGCAGACTAAATAGATCTGGAATTGAGGATAACCGAAGAGGGACGTCTTGGAATGCAAAAAGTGGAAGTATTAGAAGATGTGGCAATCCTACATGTGTATGCAAAACTTGGCAGAGCTAAAGAGAGAAGCATTTTTTTGTTTATTGATTTTGTTTGAAGATAGGGTCTTGCTACGTAGTTTGGGCTGGCTTAGAACTCAAGGCAGTACTCCTGCCTCAGCATCCTAAGCGCTGGGATTACAGATGTGCACCAGCATGCCCCGTGAGAAATGCAGTTTCAGTCACAGCTGGAGATTTTAACATCCTTCATTTAGTAATAAAAGGCAAGTATTGGTAATGACATAAAAGAATTAAAAATGGGTTAAATAGAACATCCAGTGCTGGTCTCGGGAAAGTGGCTCCTGGGGGAGTCCTGTCCGGGAGCCCAAGGCCCTGTTCGTGTTCCTTTGGCACTGCTGGAAGAACAGCTGGATCAGGAAGCCACGCCTTTCCTTCCTCCCCCTTATTCCTTCTGTTTTGTACTGGGGATTGTATGGAAGGCCTTGGCACTAAACTACATCCCAACCCTTTGTATTTTTATTTTGAGCAGGTCTCAATCACAAAGTTGCCTACCCCCGGCTTAAATTTTTTTTTTTTTTTTTGTATTGTGTTTTGAGACAGAGCCTCATTCTGTAGTACAGGCTGGCTTTGAACTCTATGTAGCCCTGCCTGGCCTCAAACTTGTGGCACTCTCCCTGCCTCAGCCTCCCAAAGTGCTAGGATTACAGGTGTGTGCTGCCATGTCTGGTTCTGAGCAACATGGAAAACAGTCTGCCTGAGTTCACCAGAGGAGTGATTCAGGATTCCTCAGAAAGGGAACTGCAGGTGCCACACTTGGAAAGACCCTACTGGAACACCAGTGAGAGAGTGCAAGTTAAAAGCCCAGCCCCGTGTACCTACTGGATTGCTAACACACTGGTGGTCAGTGTGGGGATGGGGCACCCTTGAGGGCAAGCAGTTTTGGACACTTTCTAGGGACATTGTTGGCAGTAACTGTCTCATGGGGTAAGTCATATCCCACATAATTCATGTGTTCAACCAC